CCAACCACTCTCATCATCCTGCACAGCCGTAATTTCCTCCCTTTCCAACATCGCCACATAATTTATCTGCTCATTCTGCGTGTGAGAGAGGGAGAGAGAAGGAGAGGATGGGGGAGGTATGTAGATAGGCAGTGAGATAAAGATGGGGGGGGTAGAGAGAGAGAAAGCGAGGGAGGTAAGATGATGGTGGCAGTGTGTGATGAGGTGGGAAATGGGGGGCGGAGGGGAGGCAAGAGGGGAGTCGGTTGCCCATGGATACGACCCCGATATAATTTGATTTGTGGCAGCAGGAAGCAATGAGTGAGCGAGCGCGAAAGGAGGGAGGGGGTGGGCGATGGGGGTGAGACGGAGGGAGGGATGTGGAAAAAAGCGAAAGAGAAGAGAGAGAGAAACGAGGGCGAGAATCAGGACGAGGAGGGAGGATAGAAGGAGGAGGAGGGATGAGAGAGCCTTAAACCATGTCGGGCGCCGAAGGAAAAAGGAGCGAAGAGATAATGAGAGATGGGTGATTGTGGAGAGAAGTATGGAGAGATTGAGGTCTCCAATGGTTTTCTATTTAGCTTTCAATTCCTCCAGTGTTGTCTCCCCTATCTTATCCTATCCTACCTCTTTCATCTTTTCCTCGCTTTCTTTCCTTAATCAATCATTTCAATTACATCAGTTGAAACTGCGCTGCCATGGCAGAACCTGCAGCCAACAAATACAGTCCGTACAAAGCGCAGGTAAGACACAGCGGCTTTATAGAGCTGTGGATTCAAATCATTTTTATATATATATCATAGGATTGGTTTCGCAAGCAGCATTAAATGACAGTCGGTTTAAATTACATAACAGAAAAGACTATTCTTAACTTGAAAGAACTGCTGTTTGCTTTGTTTCTAAGTATTAAGCTCCCCCTCCTAGCCATATATAACATATAACATAAGTTCACTTGGAAAATAATGTGCTCTGATTCACAAAAAACATATATGTCCAAGATTAAAATCCTTATAAAGGGCATTACCTCCTTCTAAATCACTAAATTATACAGAATATTTGATATGTATTTTGTTATTTTCTAAAGTTTCCTTTGCTGGACACAAGATGCCTCCTGCTTTCACCTGTAAAGTCCATTTCTTCAAAGTGTATTTGCACTGGTGGCTTCAAAATTTCTTACATTACACTTGTATATAGTTTGCAATTTTCTGGACCAGGGTGGACTTACAAACTATTTGTGATTGTCACAAATCATGCATGCTAGGCCCCGCCTTAAATCAGATTTTCCATGAGCACAAGAAATTTCCACTTGATTTGTGAAAACATCCTTCTAAGTGTCAAAATCTGCCACAGACATCATTGCACAGAGAAGCTCAAACATCCAACTCCAGGAACAAGAAGAGAATCATGTTTGACTGAGGGGGGCTTTAAGTGTTAAAGGAAAATGTAGACTAGCAGCGTCTTGGATGACACACTGTAGTGCAGAAAAACTGCTAAAACTTCCAATAATGCTGCACTTCAGGTCACATCCCCCGCAATCAGTGCAGGTGTTTTAGCCTTTACGTCTGATGGTAAGTGTGTTGATGTCACTGGTGGGCGTGGCCTGAAGAGTTTCTGCCCCTTTTAATACCTTCAATTAATTCCATCATCCCATGTGTGTACACACTTTTATTTATTTGCATTTCTCCCACATCAAACACCAGATATTGTAGCGATACCTGGAGCTTTTCCTTCTTCCTCTTGTCTTAATCTTTTCTCTCCCTGTGTGTGTTTGTGTTTGTGCAATCCTGTGTGTTTAATCCAAACAAAGCCAAATCTCCCCGGATTGTAAATACCAGTTGGTTATAGCAGGGAAGCGTTTCTAAAGCCAACTAGCAGACAACAAGGGACCCTGTGCTTCAGCAACACTCCCAGTTCTGTTCTGCTTGTTCACAACTGAGGGGGCTCGTACAAGTGTGTGTGTGTGTGTGGAAAAGAGAGAACTAACGTGTGACAGAAGGAGAGGGTGGAAAACAGAGCGGGAGAGAGTGTGTGACATAGAAAGAGAGCATGGAAAAGAGCATAACAGAGTGTGAAAACGACGAGGAGAATGACTGTGACGGGAGAGAAAGAGTGAGTGGAGGCAAGAAAAAGCTTGTGTGTGTGATGTGCAAAATGCAAACTGAGTACTGAAAGAGAACATGTTTAGACACTGTCTAGAAGTCTGTTTCCTAAAACACACAGTACTTTCATACAATCAATCCGGTTTTTGTGCCAAGTACCCTCTGCTGCAGCCTCAATGCACAACAATGAAACAGTGATTTCGTGGTCTCTGGTCCAGGATGACAAGTTGCGTCTTTAAGGAATAGTTCACCATTTTAAGAATTTCGCTTTCTTGCCAAAATTGAGATTTTTTTTTTGAGAATTGTATTTTGCAGAATTAGTTTGTGTCATCTGTGAAGCACATTTCTGCAAAGATTTATGATGTACATATGTGAGCGTATCCGCCTATGCAGACACCCAGTGTATTATTAGAGGCATGTCGACTGTCCACCCTGCTGTCAGCGTCAGTCTTGGAAAACATCAGGAACTTCACTGAAGCTGACTGGGCTTGCTGCCTTTGAGACCATTAATAAAACTGTTTTTATTATGTATCATGACATTTTTATGGTATTGTGGTCATCTGACAACAAGAGCAGAGAGATTTATCACTGAGAACACATGCAGGGTGTGAGCAGCTTTAGTGAAACACAAAGTCAGCTATCACAGAGCGAGTCAGGGGCAACAGAAAAAGTTCTTTGTTGGTGCAAGTAAGCCAGACTTGTTTGGGAAAAGGCTGGTTTAAGTGAGTTTATGTGGTTTAGGTTGAACTTTGAGGGAAAGGAAGATGGTTATCAGTCTGTACTTTTTGTAAATGTACAATATCTGTAATCCGTTGCATGTCCCCGGGGCTCTGGCCCAGCTCTGGGCCCTCATTATCAAACATTTAGGGCAAAGGGGGCCTCTGCAAGTCATATTTTTCTTAACACAAGAAAGAAAACATCAAAAGGGTGAGATAATTCCACTTTAAATAAGTGTCAGTAGGGCGCCCGGTTAGCTCAGTCG